CCACTAAGAAGAAGCCAAGGGAGAACAATATTCTCTTCTTATTTCTTCTTTCTTCTGCCGCAAGGAACTACTGCTTGCACTTCTCTTCCACTCTCCCGTGGAAGTCCTTCCACTATACCGTGGAAGTCCGAAGAAGAACAAAAAAGGTCGTGCTTCAAAACTTAAAGGAGAGCCGTGCGTGCGATGTCTTTTATCACGAACATGAAGCAGAGAGGTGACGTTTCACGAAACAACAAGGAGTCACGACTATTCGCAATTGGACGAAGTGAAGCTTCGCTTTGCACGCGCGGGAGCAGTTTTTGCGATGTCTTTTATCACGAACATGAAGCAGAGAGGCGACGTTTCACGAAACAACGAGTCACGACTATTCGCAATTGGATGAAGTGAAGCTTCGCTTTGCACGCGCGGGAGCAGACGGAGGCGGGAGCAGTTTCGAGCAGTTTTGCGATTAAGCGGGAGCAGGAAGGCGAGATCAGCGAAAGCGGGTTCTGGCTTCAGCTTAACAAATCTCCCACTTGGAGACCGATGCACATGCTACAATGTCATCTTCCTTGAACTGATATCCTCCACAGGCATCGACGTCTTTTTCTTCAAACATGAATCCTCCACCTCTGCAACTTAAAGCCCTGTCTTCACACCAGAAGATCAACTGAAGCTGTGAACAACTTCAATTTCACAAAAGTAACACCCTCAGTCAACATATCAGCATGGTCAACATAGCTTTGAACATCCAAGTTATTTCTTGGGTTATTCTTGTCTCTGCTTACAACTCCCACTTCATGGGCAATATCCTGCCTCTACTGAAAGCCTTTTTCAACAAGTATAGCTTTGTACCTCTTACTATCATCAAACTTAGTTTTCACCCGGTATACCTACTTGTTGTGTAATGTCTTCTTCTTTGGTGGAAGTTCTATCAGCTCCACTTGCTCTTGTGGTTCTTCACCATCTGTCTGTGGAACAATATGAATGGGTGCTCCAGACCCACTATCCTCTTGACTTCCATCATCAACAAAACTATGAACTGCCAACAATGGTGCATCATGTACTTCTTCAGATACCATATTTGCGCTATGATTCTCCATCTTCTTGGAATTTCTGCAGTTTCTATTTATGTGGCCAACCTTGCCACAATTCCAGCAGGTTGTCTGCTGACCATACTTTGATTTTGATTTCCCTCTATTTGAGTTCATGTCTTGTAATTTCCCTATGAAATTAACATTAAGTGTCGAACACGAACCTGAGATCTCGCCACAATCTTTCATACACACTTTCTCAGTCAAAATAAAAAAACAAATATCATCACATTTTAATCATCACATTTTAGTTTAGATTTACCTGCAGAACCGCTAACTGTCATCCTCATGGCTTCCCAACTATTTGATAATGATGCCAACAATATCAGCGCACCTATCTTAACTATTTGACAATGATGCCAACAATATCAGCGCACCTCTCATAATCAAAATCAATTACAACAGACAACAATTGATTTATGATAATATTGAAATCATTCAGGTGTAAGAGTGTAGGGCAACAGACATACATTCCGCCATCTTTTAGTTGAATAACTTTTTCATTAGGTGCACATTGTTATTCGCCGATATATTTTCAAACATACTTGATAAAGCCGCCATGAGGCCTGCAGTAGTCATCTCCTTGATGACGTTGTGGGCAACCGATCTCGACAGGGTTAATTGAATAACCCTCGTAACATGTCGATCCAACAGATTCCATTCCGCCTCGTCCTTCTCTTACGGCTTCTTTCCCAGTAACAGTAGGTGAAGTTTCTTTCCATAGAGGTAGTCCTCTATTTGCATCTTCCAGTAACCAAAATGTGTCATTGAACTTCTCGATCCCAGATGTCATCACTTCGTCTCCGCCCATCTTTTTTCTTTAGATCTGAACCAATACTCTGATACCAATTGTTGTGAAAAATTAAGACAATAAAACGAAAAATCAAATCGAGAAAAATTCACAAAACAGAAAACGCAGATTTACGTGGTTCGACAAATTGCTTACGTCCACAGAGTTGTAGAGGATTTTATTACTTCAAGGAATTACACCTATTGATTCACCTCGCCAATTAAAAGAAAACGCTCTTTCTCTCTCTCCACACTTGAGCCACGTGAGAAGATGAATTTGACAAAAGAAAACCAAAGTTTCTTTTCTTTGCCAGCAAAACCGAAGCAAAGATGAAAAAAAACCTTTTCTTCACCTTGCACGCTTCTTCCCAGGAGATGATACTTTTGTGCTTTACCATTGATTTATAGTAAGCTCACAAGCCCATTAAAGGCAACAAATCCAGTTGAGGAAAGGCGGGGGATTCAAACTGCGAAAAAATTCTGGCATGATTCTTAATTTGGAAGCTAATTAACAGCACTAATTAATCATTTAATTACTGCTAAAGTTGCAGTGGACCGGGTCTCCACATATCCCCAACACCCTTAGTTTATATTACATTGAGACAACCAAAAAAAGCCTATATATGTTTTTGAGATATCTTCGAATATACTAAATTGCCTCTTAGAAGCCAATAAAGATTGTCATCCTTAAGACCTAGACTAAGCATAATTGATATCGCAACTGTAAATCCATATAGAACATTACCACTTAGGTTAGCAATTAGGATGGAGAAGAATAGTGAAGAAATAAAAGGGAGGCACGTTATTTAGCGACACCAATTTGTGATTGAATTAGACCATGTACTGAAGCACAACTACTGTCTAGTAAGATACTCCATCGGCTTGTAAGTAGCTGTTTATTTGCTTGTCATAATGTGCAGTGGTGGTACTAGATAGAACACAACTTCTTATAAATTCTCAACTTCTTATATTTTCTTATTTCATTTTTGTATTCTTAAGAAGTTATTCTTAATATAAAATTTTACCTTTTCATGTATTGATATTTGAAATTATATGGTTCTTAAACGTTTATCTAATTTATTCAATATAATTTAATTAGCTAAAAAAGTATTAACTGTTTCAATTGAACCGATCAATTCTAAACAGTTAGATGTGATATTTGCCCACCC